GCTTCATTCTTGGTGATTTTCTGGATTGTGCCGTAGACAGCTACTGTTTGGCTCAGATGGTTGTACTATGAGACTTTTGAATGATGTAAGATATACAAATCCAAAACAGTCATTAAAATGTAATTAGTAATAAATAAAAGTATAAACCAGAATTGAATTTGTACATTGATCCCACCCTTGTTGACGATCAATATGCGCTTCCTGCTAAAGAACATGCTCAGATATTAGCAGGAGGTATGTCAACCTTTCTGTGTTTTGCAACACATTTTCAACTGACACTGACAACAGCAGATGTGCAAGGAATTTTCAGTTTGCACAAATGTTTTCAAATGTATGAATGCCATTAGTTGCATTATTAAAACCACTGAATCAAAGCATTACTGCAAAAACATAGAAAGGAATGTACTTTCTTTTTTGGGGCCAACGGTTTATAACGTTATTGGTTCCTTCCTGGTTTACAAGGAAACATGATTCCCAAGCTGGGTGGATTTGCCCCTTTGTGTTGCACTAGTTAGTCACAGTTTTTAACTCCATGTTGATCCGTCTGTTTGTTTTCAACTGTTCAACATTTTTTCCAATCATGCTGTTAGATATGGAACAAATAATGTGACTGAACTCCTATAAGATGATTATACTCACACTTGGAAAGGCTCCTGCAACACAGGGCCCCTGCACCAGCTCAGTGTTAGTTTGGCCCCTGACAGACAGGGGATCATTGGTCCCTCCGGCTTCATTCTCGGTGTTTTCCAACCCAGGGTTGGTGTCAGGGCTGTTGCTGGTAGAAGGCCCCGTTGACGACACTTGGTGCACCAGCCACGCGCTCAGCTGCGTGGGAAACCGAGGTGACCCAAGTGTCCTCACCTCATCCAGCAGGCGACGACTGGCGAAGAAGGAGTCCAGCTCGGGGCATTTCGGATGCACCCCGTATCCGTCGAGCGTGTCTCTTAAAATGTGGAAAGGTGTTTGAGTGTAAGCTGAGCTAGGACCCAAGTTAATCTCAGCTAGGGGTGGATAGACGCCGGTTAGGTAGCTATCTATGTCTACTCGAACTCCCACCAAACTGAGCAAGATAGTCAACTGAATCAGGCTTTCTGTAAAGTCTTTTTTCGCGAGCTGCATTTTCTAAAAAAAAAAAAAAAAAAAAAAAAAATCCCAGAATAAGGGTGACTGTGAAATCCTGGCCCGACAGTTACTCTTTCCTGAGCGGACCAAAAGGGAAAAGCTAACAAAAGAGCACGCCTTTCCCTGTCAGACAAAGAGGTCCGCCTGTACCGGTGAACGTCTAAGCTAGCTGTTAGCCGTTAGCTTCAAGCCTGAACTCCTGGCTACAAGAAACTTCCCGTTATTAACACAGAGCAGATTCGAACGAGTAATACGTTACAGTGTAAATGTTTCTCCTCCAACGAGTCCAAGATATAACAATCTCCACTGCGTTTAGATTAAAGTGAAAATGAAACATGTAAATAGCCCAAACGCTGTCACAGCAAACTGGCTTCAACTCTTTTCGTAATTTGCATAGTCGCTCGCTGATTGGGTGAATGTTTCACTCATAACAGCAGATGATTGGTTAATCTAAGTATCCATCAATTCTAACCGAACAGAGCGAGGAAAAGCCGCTTATTTAAACCACAAGATTTTAAGCTGATGTAATTGTTTATTACACAAATTATTTAAATGATTTGTAGAAAATGGCAGTCTCTGATTACTTTGATGACATATTACTTTTTATTTTTAAATTGAGTTTAAATTGAATCATTCAAGACAATATTGATGTTTAGGGATTTAAATTATTATACTTTGTACATACAGCATTCTAAGTCCTAACAGAATTCCTTTTATAACTTTAATTCTGGGAAGCAGATAAGTGTATGTGAATAAGTATTTGCACAGTTATTTTGACTTACGGTATAACCATGTGTGGTTCTAGACAGGGGCCAGTGCCCCTCTACGTAGATCACTTCCTGGCCTCCTGTTATGGCCCATGTACTGAAGACATAATACTCAGAAAGAAATTGTAATGATGATATGTGCTGGAACAGACATGGTTACTGATAGGTCTTTTTGGTCTATTTCATTTTTTATCCCTTTTACAAATCCTGTTTTACTAATTATTTAAAATAAATAAGATGATAACTTCAGTGGTTTTCAGATAGGATCCCAGAGGTCTTCTGCTAAATGTTTTTTTTTTTTTTTTTAACAAATTGCTCTAATTTTTTATGGCTGAATTCATCAGTTTTTCTTGAGTTCTAATTCAGATTTAGTAGAAAATGGTAATTCTGGCTTAAATTTATTCAAAAATATGTTAAAGCTACAGTGTGTAATAATTACAGGGATATACAGTCAGAAATGTAATATATTATACATAACTATGTTATTTATGATCATCTACGAGCTCAGCCTTTTAACCTTAATATTTGCGTTGCCTTAGAATTCGTTATTTATAATTACATAGGAGCGGGTCTCGCAGCCATGGAGGCAGACATCTTT